ATCAACTGATTTATCACCATTCCCTAATACCCTGCCTCTAACCTCGCTATTACTTACCCGGTGATCCCAACAATATTTCTAAGGCATCTGTGGTCAAATACTAATAGCTTACGAGTTTCTTCTACTCTTAAGGGCCATGTTTCGCTGCCGTAAAGTAGAACAGAACGAACTGCCGCGCAGTATACTCGTCCTTTTATTGATAGACGGATATCTTGCCTTCGCCATAGGTGACGCAAGTTGGCAAAAGCCAATCGAGCTTTTCGAATCCGTGCTGAGATTTCGTCCGATACCAACCCATTAAAGCTGATCAGACTTCCAAGATAAGTGAAGTTGTCAACGCGTTCGACTACTTCACTCCCTATCCTTAGTTCAGGTGTTGACGCAGACCAGTCCTGAAGCAGCAACTTGCATTTCGAGGGAGAGAAGCGCATTCCAAACATTCTGGCATTGCTGCTTAGTGCTACTAGAAGACTCTGCATTTTTTATTAGCGTCTTCACCAAACAGGACTATATCATCTGCGTATTCTAAGTCGATAAGTGGACCTCCTGGAAGGAGATCAATACCCGAGAATTCAGTCGATGAGCAAGTTATTTCCATCAATAGGTCTATGATGGAGTTAAACAGAAATGGGGAAAGTGGACAGCCTTGACGGACACCACTTGAGGTTGCAAAAGTAGATGACAGTTCGCCATAAGCTCTCACTCGACTAGTAGTGTTCGAGTAAAGAGCCTTTACAAGGTTTATGTTGACAGTACCTTACAATGATCTAAATATTTATATCTATATATGTACTTAAAGTAACAACCTGTATAGCATGACAATTGAATTAACGTAATCTAGAAGATCCAATCTATTAGCGCTAATATCAATGTATCATGTTCAAATGACTTCTGATAGTTGACAGTTTATTATTGAAAGTACTGATTAAGGAGCGGTCATTAATGTTGAAATCATTCATCTATCAAATTACTAGATTGGGAATGCAATTTTTTATCCTATGCTCCTCTACAAAAGGGTAACAGTCGTAGTAAGTAAGTAGTGTGACCATAGAAAATGATCTATCTATTTATTCATTTAAGCTACTAATATACAGCGGAAATCTACTTGACATGGTATCAATACCATGGTTGTACTTGATAATTTCAAATACATTGAGTATGAGTAAAAAAATAATACCAAATATGTTTTTATTTATATCTCAATGAGTAGAAAATTTTGTAGTTTCTGAAGAAGTGACTTAAATTAAATTATGAAACGTCAAAGACATTTTTCTACTCATTAGACCATGCAGTTCTTCCAAGTCTTCCATGTGTGGTCTGGTTTTTAATTGATTCATGAACTCAACTATTAATTACTCCAAAACCCTTTTCTGATAATAAACATTAAGATAGAAACAAAGAATATATTTATTCTTTTGTTTAACAAGGCTTTGGTAGCAGTAGATGATCAGGTTGCATCATATCAATGACCAGTTGGTGTACTTTAGTTTTAAAAGGAGAATGAATGTTTTCTGTGTAAATTTAATGTGTCTCACTGTAGTGAACGAGAACACAAGTGGGAACATTCGAATGCATTTGAATACATACAGTAAATACTTCATTTGCACAATATCAATCAATTATCTCAAACTTGATTGTTCTTTTGATTCTATAACAATCATTCTTCGTTCTCTTTCTCTGTTCTTTCATCTTCTTAACCTTCTGCCACCAGGTATTTCACTTTCTATGGATGATATATACTACTTATATTTATCAACATCAGTAGCAAGAACGCTTCATATGTGAGGACTTATATTCGTAGTTGCATATTTGTAATATAATAGGGGAAAATGTATGAAACGTTTTAAAAGCCACCAGATCCATTGAATTGGATCCATAAATTATTGAGGAATTTATTATACAACATGAAAAAGTATTAGATCATTGAACTTTAATATGGGAACTGTATATCAGAAATATTAACATTCTTCGATAAATCTATGGTATGGTAAGTGATGTCAAGTCATCTAGACTAATGGCCACATTGTAACTTGATCGATAACATTTGATCTGCATTAAGAAGGACCTGACACACATAACATCGCTCACCCACCACCCAGTGATCAATCAATTGTCAATATGTAGTGTTCACTTTTAAGCAAGCCGATTGGAAAAGGTTCAAAAACTTCTTGAAAAATTACATACATGGCATAATCGATATACTCAGCTTCATGTACATAATGTAAATGTAGAAATATATTCAAACCTGTTTAATAAACTAGTAAAACATTATGAATAACTAGTATAGGGGTTGTGGAGATTATTAAGTTTTTGATTGAGATCATGAACCGATTGATGTTAGACCACCATTGGAAACCTGAAAGCATTAGACAGCTGTGACCAGTGGAGCTAATCCGTGTCGGGTAGAGACAGGTATCTACCTCAGTACAATGGAAGTTGATGTTGATGTTGATGTTAGACACTATCACCATTGGATGACGACTCAGTGGTCCAATAGGTTAAGCGTTCGCGAGCGGGATCGTGGATGCGCACTGCTGAGGAGTCTCACAATAGAACGAAACGGCTGTCCAGTGTCTCCAGCTTTGCAAAGGTGATCTAACATCAATCGGTTCATGATCCAAATTATGAATAACAATAAATTGAAATTTAATCTAAAAACTAATCATAAAACAACTAATTTAAACGAACAAAACAGATTTAATATCTTAGATTTTGGCGCGAAATTCATTCATCCATATGGTCAAAGAGCATTTCACCATTTATAGTTGATGTCAGTTCATAATGAAAACTCAAAATCTAATTGATAACTCTAATGTTTATTTGAAATCCCAATATCAATTTAGGTAGGTGAACCTACCCACAGTCATTTCGGTATGGCTTAAAGGTCGTCCATAAGTTATGGTTTTACCAAATATGTCGATTGATCTAATCTACTCTACTGTTGTGATATTGTTTGAGCTATTCACATGTTGTCCATTAAAGACGTTCACGTATTGGCTATCCAATCAATAATCTACACAATTGTCCACCTTCACAAACCTCTAATTATAATATTGAATAAACAGATTATTAGTTAGCAAGTACCGTTAATATTTCGGATCGAAGCTTATTTGATTATGTAAGTAAAGCATTACACTTAGTTAATCTTAGTTTGTGTATGTTAAACACATTTTGAACACATGATCGATTCATAGATTAGTAGTTGATTGACAGATTTGTAGATATCTCCATGAGTAGAAAAATGAAGTTTTTTGACGTTTCGTCACTCAGTTTAAGCCACTTCTTCAGAGAATAAATAACCAGATAGAAATTAATCGAAATTTAAATAATACAAAGAAACAAAACAAGAATATTAGATAGGATCAATCAAAAAACAGGTCTGAACAAGTCCATGTCATGTCATTTTGGTCAAGCTGATTTATAACCGACATGTGTGTAAGTTTATATCTGTGTGTATATATGTACAGAGTAAGGGATGAGAGAAAATGTGACTTTTGTAATGAGAAAGTAAAGAATTTAATTTGTATGTAAGATAATGATGTTAAATGTGAATAATATCAGACATGGTATCTTGGATAGATAGTCCAAGTCGGATAGATAGTGAGGCCTTCTTTTTTATTGAGAGTAGTAAGATTAAGCATTATATGGAACACTTCAGCTACTCCTCTTTCTTTTTATTTGGCCAAAACGTTTTCTAATATTTGGATATTTTTGAAACCGATTTGATGATTATAAGCAAAGATGGATAGTGGGTAGCAGTGGAATCCAGGACGCGTTTTTCGTCCTGTTTGGGACTCGTCAGTTGGATGTACCTGCATCTCAGAGTTGATGTTCACTCTGGGACTCGAACTCAGTACCGTTCGCTATCCATCTTTGCTTATAATGCTTGTAAATTAAGGCAATATCGAGGCATACACACAGTATGCACATATGCCAATAAGAGACTGATCAATTTCAGTCCAAAAACATCAATGGGAAGATTCAAATAAAACAATATCAAGCGATTTGATGATTGTTGAAAATGGTGTGAATTGTTAATGCTGATTGAATTTGACGTCGATCCAATCCTACGGGATTATTAAGTGATTTCCTTGTGTACCTAATATGTTTTTTTGGCTCGAGTCTAGATGACTCTCCAACATAGAAGGCATCACAATCGATACATCTTAAGTGAAAAACATGACAATTAGTCGAAAAGCTGACTTTCACTTAACGCCAAATCCAAAAAAAGTATCATAAAGCATCTGTTCCATATGGATAATGACCAAAAAATTCAACCAAAGAGTCTCTAATAACAACAACAACTGTAGAAGTGTTTTTCTCATTTTCTTCTAATCCAATTATTATTTTAATGGAAATTACTACGTTCTCTAGGTTTTACTAACGGATTCATATCTTACTTACTTACGCCTGTTGCCCCTTCTGGAGGAGGATAGGCCGACCAGCAGCACTTTCAATTCAACTCTGTCCTGAGCACTCCTTCCTAGTTCCTACCAGTTACAATTCATCATTTTCATATGTACTTCCACTTCCAAACTGAGTGTGTTCCTTGATTTTCCTCATTTCCTTTTCCCTTGAGGGTTCCAAATTGGAGCTTGTTTAATGATGCAGTTTGATAATTTCCGTAATATATGTCCTATCCACTTTCAACATCTTTTCCTGATTTCCTCCTCATCTGTAAGCTAGTTTGTCTTCTCCCACAATAGGCTATTACTGATGGTATCCGGTCAACAACCGATATTGAATATCTTGCATAGAAAACTGTTTATAAATACTTGTACCTTCTTGAAGATGATTGTAGTAGTTCTCCACGTTTCAACTGATATATATCACTTCTATTATATTTCCTACTTGATTTTCTTTCATGAAGATAAACATTTAAGAAGGATACAATTATCCAATGACTTAAAATTTTTGTGAAAATTTAATTTCTTTGTTTATTAAACTAAATAAACTGTTTCCTAAACTTGCATAGCATCATATATGACCCCCTTCTCTCTCGCCCCCCCCCCGCCAGAGTACTAGTATATCGAAAAGAGAAATTGTTTATTTTAATTGAAATGTAAATGATACCAGTAAGTAGATTGATGAAAACAAGAGATGAAATGAAAAACAAACAAACAAACATCTTTGTCATTCATGTATGACTGTTATTCTTAAACAATCTTATCATCCCTATGAACTAATTCAATCAATAGATTGTTCCCATTAGTGAACCATAGTTATAAAGTGAAATATTAATAGTGCTTCTTCTATTCTATTGAATGACTTTCTTTATTCATGTTTATGTTATTCTTTGATTGACATATTCTATTTGGATGAAAGTATAGTTTGAGGTATATTTCTATTCTTGATTAATGCACTTTATAATGAATCATTCTGTTTTAAATGTTTTAAATGTTAGACACTATCACCATTGGATGCCGGCTTAGTGGTTCAGTAGGTTAAGCGTTCGTGCACGAGATCGAAGGCTCTGGGTTTGAATCCCGCGAGCGGGATCGTGGATGTGCACTTCTGAGGAGTCCCACAATAGGACGAAACGGTCATTCAGTGCTTCCAGGTTTCCAATGGTGGTCTAACATCAATCGGTTCATGATCTCAATCAAAAACTTAAATGTATATTATGAACTGACTTAAAGTTAAATCATCTTTGAGAAATTGTTATATCTAGAACTTAGATTCTTTGATATACAGTGTATAAATTAACCACTTGAATGACAGAATCCTCCCAAGTCTCAAATGAAGAAGACAGAAGACAAGTGAAAGGAATGCTATTCCAGATATCGTCAATTATGGTATAGGGGATTTTAATATTTATCCGATATGAAAGTTACACATCGAGATTTTAGAATATTCTTCCAAAAGATGATTGGATGAAATAACTTCGGTTCTCTCTGAGCTTCTTAGAACTACTTCGAGTTCACCCATAGGTTGTCCTTACAAAAATTAGGAAACAGTGAACAGTAATTTCGTTTTAATATAGAGCTCCTTAACAATGACAGTAAGGATATAGGTATCGTCAGTTGAGAAACATAATAGTCATGTAAAATACCCATAAAGACATGAAATAAAAACTGATTCAATGAAGATTTATCCTTTTGATAGATTCATCTTTGAAGCTTATCTTGAAGATGATAATAATTTCAATAATGGTGATAAGAAAATTCTGTTAAACATTGTAAGAGTGAGGTAGAATAAGCAAAGGTATTAAAATTTCATTTTCATCATGGTAACTAATAACAGTTTTTATTGTTAAGCTCTTGAACATTCGTTATGACGATAAACAAGGAAAGGAAGGCTCAGCATAATAAGATAAAATGTTGAAATTACGAACTAATTGAAATTTAAAGTGTGAAGCACTGAACTACAAATAAATAGTCGGAAGGTACTATACTCTTTCTAAGACCTAAAAGTTCCACAGGTTGAAATCATGAGTCAATTGAAGCTAGACCACCATGAAAAACCTTGAAGCATTGGACAGCCGTTTTGTCCCAGTACGGGACCCCTCAACAGTGCGCATCCGCAACCCCGCACCCTACGGGATTCGAACACAGGACCTACTGGTTCCGCGCGCAAGCAATTAACCACTACACCACTGAGCCGGCGTCCAACGGTGTTAATGTCTAACTTCAACCAATCCACGAAGTTGCGCCACCGTACACCATTGTCTTTAGTGAGTTGATAGCTCATAACCGACTTGGTTGAACTCCACTGGTAAAGGCTTCTCACTAGAATTTCAGGAGTATCTCCTGAAGTCAGTCACTAGTGAGCAGACGATTATTATAATAGACCTAAAAGTGTTTGAGTTTGATCCCTTTTACAAGTGTAGTTAAGGACTCGTGAGAAATATCAAATTACAACAAAACAGCTATCGATAGTGTTCAGCTTTTAGTGATTGCCTAATTGAAGTTAATCATTGATGTAAGATATCTTGAAACTAAAATAACAAAGAGTTGTGCAAAATCATGAATAGATTGAAGTTGGACGTTAACACCGATGGATGACGACTCAGTGATCTAGAAGTTAAGCGTTTGCGTGCGAGACCGCAGATCATGAGTTCGAGTCGTATGTGCGGGCTTGTGGATTCGCGCTTCCAAGGAGTTCTATACCAGGACGAGATGGCCATCTAGTGATTCTACGTTCCCATTGGCGGTCTAGATTAGATCGACTCATCAGTTATACTATTAAAATAAACTAGACAGTAAATTTTGATTCTCAAGCATAAACTCATTCAATTCATAAGCGAAGTTGATTGAATACTCAAAATCAAGTGAAATGATCACTGTTAAAGTGACACTAACAAGGCCAAAATAGTACGTTACTTATGTGAAAGTAAGAACACAAAGACTAGTACAAATGAATATTTATTAGCTCTGAAACAAGACGACAACTACCCTAGTCGGAAATACAGCCATTTATATATTGATTCGTACATCCATTTTGATTATTAATTTGGATAAAATCACATATACGAAACATAATTACTGTTATAACAAATCACATGCTACATGTCATGCTGTGCATAATTCTGGTCAATCTTCAATATTTTTATTTATTTGAACGCATAAATATTGGTACAAAGCGGCACTGAATACATATACGCCACAAATGTCACTTCATTTGTGAGTGAACTGTGATACTGCTCGGGTGCTCAAACCGAAACAGGTGGTTTTCTTAGAGGGCCAAATCCGGAGTCTTCGATCTCAAGATCTGATTCACAAGGCAGTGGAGCAACATCAGGAGATGCAGTTCCATGGTATTCGGTGAACAACAACCGATTTATACGTCATTTGTTCTATCAGGATACTGAAGCTCAACTCTGTTAGATGGATCCTCTATATCCACCGAACCGATTAAAGAGTCGGATAGTCTCTTTTCATCCTCTCATTTTTGTGGAAAAACAAACAAGTATATCGTATGTTGTATGGAATAATATATCATAATAGGAAAACAGAAACAACTACTACATTGTATAATCGTCACATTGAAGTAAAAATGGAATTAAAACTTGAATGAAAATCATAAAGTGTAAATCAATCTATTTTTAACGTTTCTTCTCCATTATATCAGTTCAACCCTCTGCAAGATGTTTGGTTAACTTTCCGTTGAACAACGTAATTCCACAGATTAGAATGGTGGAGAAGATTTTAACTCAGGTAGATGATTTCGATGAAGTTTTGTTCTCGAGGTGTACAGAACAAGCTATGAAACGCATATGGCGAAATTCGAACACTTCACTTCTATCTAAAGTTTGTGCTGATGATCATGTCGTTCAGAAGAACGATGAAAGCTCCACGACCAAACTATTCAGCTCAGAGAACGAAATTCCATCAAAAACATTAGAATTCCAGATCTTACCAATTCAAACAAACAATCGAATTAAGTTAAATTACATTCATTCCAATCAAATGATAAATTAATGAAATTTATTGATTAACCAACTCAATCATTGTACTTTGAATTCAATTCAATTATACCCTCTGATCAGTTGAATGCTGATTAAAAAAAGGGGGGTAGCACTGATTAATTCTATCTTTGCTATAAGTGTTTTGTATGAATTAGATCAAACAACTAACCTGACTTATTTAAGATTTCAGAGTAAAACAAATTCACAATACACAAGTTTGATATGATTCTTAAATTTCTTTTTCCTGTGACCCTAAATGCTCTGGTACAGCCGAAAGTGGGGAGATACGGAAGATCTTTGTAGTAGAGTTGGAAAACACTGATGGTGTACATGAGCCTCAGGATCCTAATGGAAAAAATGGCGTATAAACTTATCGTTGGTTACCGGCTACCAAGTAATTGCATCTCCTGACGTTGCTTCACTGCCTTTTGGATTAGATCCTTAGATCGAAGGCTCAGGGTGTGCCTCCCTAAGAAATCCGCCTGTTTCAGTTTGGGCACTCGGACAGTCTCCCATCCCTGGTACATATCTGTTTGGTGCCTCCTTATAACAATGTTTATGTGTTTAAATAAATAAATAAAAATAGAAACGATAATAGATTAAAATCTAACAAAATCCTAAGCATTAAAATCATGAACTGATCAATATTACATCAGAATTAAAAATTTGAAAGCACTGGATGGCCATTTCATTCTTAACAGTGAGTGCTCAAGATCCAAGACCTTTGGTCTCGTGTTTGAACGCTTAACCTTTAGACCATTGAACCGTCATCCAACAGTGCTGATGTTTAACTCCAGCCAATTAACAACTAAAAAACATGCAATAGTAAACTGTAAGACAAAATAACACTTTTTCTTTCTTTCTTTACAAAACTATTCTACAATCAATGATCAATTTTGTTGTATAAGTTACAATAAACGTCAAAGTGTAATAAAACGGAAGAAATGTGCACATGTAATCTCATTAACTTTACTTGACAGTTAAATGAATCAATAAATTTTTAGTTGCCTTGGTTACAAAATTGAAATATTTTCTCATGAATAAAAAAGAAAATTAATTGAATATGACAATGTTTATGATTATGTGTGATTATGACTATTATAATGTTGAAAAATGATTATAACAAAATGTATGTGTGTGCTTGTGTTGGGCGACAGAGGGGGACAGGGCTATCTATCTAAATGATGATAATATCGTCTTCAATGTTTATTTAATATAGAAACTGTAAATATTCTCCTATCATTGTTGCTTCAGGACTGGTGTGTGTCAACACCTGAACTAAAGATAGGGAATGAAATAGTTGAACGCGTTGACAACTTCACTTATCTTGGAAGTCTGATCAGCCTTGATGGGTTAGTGTCTGACAAAATCTCAGCACGGATTCGAAAAGTTCGTTTGGCTTTCGCCGACTGATTATCACGGAATTCAGCCTGTTGATCTGGAAGATTAATGTCTACTGAATTTTTCATCTAATCCCAAAACACTAGTAAAATCTTCTCCTGGTTCTGATAGCATTTTAATGCCTCTATAGTCTACATACTTGCTCAGATGTTCTTTTCTTTGTGGTATCTTTCTAGTCTGTCTGTGGCATATGCTCTTCCTTCCAAATCTTCTTGAATAGAATATGGCGCATATTTGTAGTTATGTCTATGTGTAACTTCAATGCTTCAACTTGTATATTGTCAGGTAGTATCTAATCGAATTAGTTGGATTCATTTTTCCTTTAAAATATCTTGTTCATGAATGATGAATAACTTATCATTTCTTTTATTGTTTCTTTTTTCCATATTACTTATAGCTTTAATGCTAATCAATCGTAAAATCTTCTTTAAAGTATAACTGATAAATAGACAATTACTTTAACATTCAATCACTGATTGCCTTAGTAGTTACATGGTAACATACAACTTTGATCTTTAAAACAAACACTCCCCCCAACAATTACGTTTCTTCACAGTATCTAATATTGATTCAAACATAAATCATCATAGCTGATGCTCCATTACGAGTAAATAGGCTTAAGTAAGTAACTAACTAAGTCAATGTAACATCAAACAAGTTCATAATCATGACTGAAGTTCTTCCTAATTCATCAATAAATGAAAAATCAAAACAATCAATATTCAATCGTATTAAATTGATTCAACGTTATTTTTCTAATTCAACCCTTCAGTCTAAATCTATGGATAAATCATCAAAATCAATATTAACAATTCAACATAAAACATTGAATGATAATCTATTACCTTGTCAACAGATTACATCATCAAAATCTAATGCTCATCATCATCATCATCATCACCATGATAAAAAGCATTGGACAATGAAACAATTTAAAAATTATATCAAAATTAACCATAGCAACAAGCATCAACATAAATCAACGACATTAACTGTTATACCTACAAAAGAAATGATTACACCTTATTCTTCTTATTCATATAATTCATATACAAAACAATATCATACCTTGAAAGAAATTTCATCTAACAAAAATGACATGATCAATGTACAAACTTTCAAATCAATCGATGATATTTCATCATTACAACAATCAATTTCATTAAGTTCATTAAGTTTAGATGATGATGATCATGATGATGATGATGATCAGAATAAATCTTATCAAAAAATAACTAATCTTGATGAAATGAATGATGAAAATATGACTGTATCCAAATTTGTTAATGATATTATAAAACAATCAGATTTAGATAAAAGTTGGTTAACTATTGATTATGATGATGATCATCATCATCATCTTCAACAACAACGAGAACAGCACCGGCAGCAACGAGAACAACAACAACAACGAGAACAGCAACAACGAGAACAACAACAACGAGAACAACACCAACGGGAACAACAACACCGACAAGAACAACATCAACAACAACAACAACGAGAACAGCAACAACGAGAACGACAACAACAACAACGTCAATTATCAATGTCTGATATCTATCCAATATGTACAAGTCATGATCCACTTAGTGACTCATTGAAATACTTTACATCCTTGTCTTCTAATATGTCAATTATAAAGAAAAAAGAAAAAAATTTTAATATTTTCTTATCAATATTATCGAAATGTAACAATAATAATGATAAAAGTTTATTAATAAAACGTAATTTAAATAGGCTGAAAAAATGTAAAACTTTATCAACTATGGAGATTGATTTGTTGCTATGTGAAAATAGTAAGTAAATTGGATAGATTTTACCATAAATTTGTCTATATGTAGATGAAACTAAGTGTATTTTTTTATTTCTTTTTCGTTGTTTATGTTATGAACTGGAGTTTATCCGTTTGTTTTAGCCCCGAAGTAACCTGGTACGTCTGAGGGTGGAGAGAGTCAGCTATCTCTCTGTCTTTCTCACTCTCTCGAAATGCTCTCAAATGGCCATGTGTATACATCCATTAACAGGGAAGTCATACTCATTGACTTCTTGCCGCATTACAGTTGTTTACGAAAATGAGAGGATGAAAAGTGAATGTCCAGCGCTTTAACCAGGTTGGTGGACATGGAGAGTCCGCCTATGTGAGTTGGAAAACCTTGATTCTAAACCAATGTTACTCATAGGCTGCAGGATCCTAAGGAAACAAATGGTGCATGAACATAGTGTTGGCCACCAGCTACCATGGGAATGTATCTCCTGATGTTGCTCCACTGACTTGTGAGTCAGACCTTTAGGTTGAAGGTGCCACGTGTGGCCTCCTAACAAAACCATTTGCTTCGGTTCGGGGACCCGAGCAGTACCATACCTCATACTCATATGAAGTGACTTATGTGGGGTATATGTATTCGGTGCTTCTTTCTAACAATATTTATCTGTTCAAATAGATAAATCAATAAAAGTTTTTTTAAGGAATATGTACATTCTGAGTGGATACTCTTGATAATGAAGTTAATTCATAAGTACTTTTAAGTCAAATATGAAAGTAACTAGCAGATGTAGATCCAGATATCAACTACCAAGTAAAACAAAAAACGCATTCTAAATTCCATTAATAGTCACTACTATAATCAGTCTTAACCTATATCTGGATAATGGCTAACAAATGAATTTAAGGCGCATGGTTTATGAGTGTTGAAACTTGCAAAGTAATTGTACTTACATCCCACGGTTGATAATCACACTTCGATTCGATTCAATTATCTAGCTTCAAATGCTAATAACTTAGATAGTTACAACCAAATCTGAAAATTATCCTTCACAAACAGTTTCATTGAGTAACTAACTGTAATCACTTAAGATAAACAAAAGTAGAAAGGTCAGGAACACTAGTGAAAGAATACATTATTTGCACATCTTCCTTAAGCTGTCCTTTGCCTACTTCACGATTCTTTCAATCCTGTTGTTATTCCGATTGTTCTTCATTTTGTTTCTTCTTCTCTTTATTTCACTCTTCTATTGGTAAGCATTTCACTTCCAATACCTGCTACATATTACTTGTCTGTCTGTATAAGTAGTTCACACCGTAATACTATCACAAGTTACATACAAATAGTTCTGTTTTTCATTATGAAGGGAATACGAACAAAGATTTGAACTAAATAACATAAATTTGTTCTTTTACGTCTTATGACGAATTTCTATTGAGAAAGATATGAAAACAAACACCTATAACATACGATTAGTGATTGGACAATATAGTATGTAGTGCGATGTATGCTACTGATGTCGACAGATATAAGTAGTATGCATCATCAATCGAAAGTGAAATGCCTGAAGTCAGACGGTTAAGAAGATCAAAGAAATGAGAACATGAACAGATAATGATTAGTGTGGATAAGAAAGAACATTGAACTCTGAAACGATTGATTGACATTGTGCAAACGTAGTATTCACTGTATGGTTCTCAGATTTTTACTAAGTTATTGTATCATTTTGTGTGCAAATACGTTCGACTGTCCTCATTTGTGTTCTGGTTCACCACAGTAGAACCAGTACATAGAAATTCAGGATTCAGTCGCATGTAATGACATCCATGCCCACCACTACGCTTTCTTAAACACTTAGATTTAATTATTCTGCATATGTCGTCAATTCACACAAAATGCACACAACGAATGTATTTTGGTGGAGTTTTGTTCTGTGAGCTGGATGGTTTGGTTGTGTCATGGAGAAAATAAAGTTGTTCTCGAGTGAAAGCCTGCCTTTTGGCGAAATTCTCCCATTTTCGAACAACGAGAAGCGTGTTACGCTCATAGGATTTTGAGACAACAAAACTCCACCAAAATCATCCACCTGAGCTACAAATCTTCTCCACACACCGAATGTGAATACACACACACACACATATGAGTTTGCATGTATTTGTCGTTCTTCGATTTACTAATCGGTGTTATACATAATGATAAACGATAAGTTCGAAAAATGTTCTGTTTCTTTGCCTTTTACTTCTTCTTCTTCTTCTCCTTCTTTGTTTTCAATTACTTCACTAAATTTATTCACATAACCTCAGTTCAATTTAACTATGAGTCAGTTTCTATAGTGAAACTGTTAAAAATAAACGCTTATGTCAACACATTGACTATGTTATTGTGAAAATAGTCGAATGATGGTCAATATCATATATTATGAGTAGTAGTAATGCCACTGCTGTATATTTACAAGTGACTAGTTTCGATTAAATGTAAATTTGCATTCATTCAATCTAATATGTAAATGAAGTGAGAGAGAGAGAGTGTGTGTGTGTGTATTGTTCAATGATTATTTCATTGTTGACTAATTAACAATCAGTAAGTCCAGTGAAGCGATGTCATTTCAATGAATCAATTGGTTGGTTAGTTCATTAATGAATCTCGCGAGGCCATATCGTGCATACGCACTGCTGTGGAGTCCCACAGCAGGAAGAAACAGCCATCCAGTTCTTCTAGATGTTCCATGATGGTCTAACTAGAATTGACTCATGATCTCAACTATTGAAATTATTATAGTATCCACAAAACCCCTTGTGAAATTAATGAATAATTAGTTAACTACTTAAATAAACAACGGAATCAAGTAGAAAGTTACATAATTAATTTGTTATATATATGCGTATATAAGTTACATAGATTTATTCTATTAGGAGTCAAGGTCAATATAGACAATAACAATAACAACATCAAGATGATGTTATAGACACCTTTCAATTGATCTAACAAACTAGTAAATAGATTAACTATTCTTAATAATGATCAGAAGGGGTTTTTGTTGGTGGAGATTGTAGTAATGTAATAGTTAAATTCATGAGTCAATGAAAACTAGACCACCACGGAAAACCTGGATGCACTGGACGGTAGTTTCGTTCTAGTATTGAACTCCTTAGCAGTGAGCATCTGCTTGGCACTCGTCAACGTGTATCTGTAATCTTGAGGAACCTGGTGTTCCCCGGGTGGATTCTATCCCATGTCACTCAGCTTCACAGTCAGAGATGTTAGCACTGAGCTATCCGGGCTGCGACTGACCTCCTGTAGGACTGAGATGCAATCACAATTGATTGATCACTGGGTGGTGATCAATGTCATGTGCGTCAAGTCCTGTCCAACCATCTCAATATATAGTGCACGCAGTGTCGAGTCATCTAGACTAAATAAGGACTTGACACACATGACATTCATTACCACCCAGTGATCAATCAATTGTGATAAGATGATGTAATGCTTGATGAAGTTTGAACCATAGCTAATAAATAGCCTCTTTGCTTCTCAAATTTATAACCGATCAACACTTAAACGGAAAATAGAGGTTATAGAACACGGAAGTTGTAATCCTATGTTAAGTTATATGCGGAAAACCAAGGTATTAGTAGAGTTATAGGGAACCGTAACATTCAAACTAATAATGGTTAAGAAACTATTCACGTTATTCTTTGAAAGAATAGTTATCCTTGTAAGGTTTACGGAGACCTAGGACCTTTTGACAAGTTTGTTTACTCGATATATGAAGACATTTTAACAAGTACTGAATTCCACTATGAAGTATGCATGATAGTCACAATCTATGTTTTAAGACCTTTGGTAATATGGCATACTGATGATAATAAGAAAAGGTTTGCAAAATATTGTATTACCTGAAAACATAACATATCGGTGACAAGGACAACTCATAAAATAAACTATGAAAAGTGGCTTTGATTTGATTACTCGTCGAACTACTCACAATAGGTGAACTTAAATCGTACCTCAGTTGCAATACTGTCTTCAGATACTGTATGCTTCGTTTGCATTTAATAAAAGTACTGAGTAGCAGTAGGAGTCCTGGTGAATTCACTTTCTAATATTTTCCTATTACTATACAAACATGCTATTGCGTCTGTTTGTATATACAGTATATTCTCTACTGATTAAACGTATTCATTTCTAACTGGTCACCTCATATGATCAGAATTCATTCATACATACCTTAAATCTATAGTGTTTGGGAGAAATTTAATCTTTTGTTAGCGTTAGTTTCTATGAGTCAACATTTTAGTTCTGAAGCTTTCATTGTTGCTGTAGATAAAAATGTCAGCATTTACTTCAAACGGCAAGTAATCATTAAGAAGTATTCTATTAATGATGAATCTATCATTTCTGGTAACTTAGTTTCTTATCAGTATAGAGGTTGTGGAGATTATTCAGTTCATGATTGTGATCACAAACCGATTGATGTTAGACCACTGTTGGAAACCTCGAAGAACTGGATGACCGTTTCGTCCTATTGTGGGACTCCTCAGCAGTGCGCATCTACGATCTTGCTCGCGGGTTTCGAACCGTGAGCTTGAAGTCTCACGCGTGAACGCTTAACCTACTGGACCATTGAGCTGGCGTTCAATGGTGTTGAGCGACCATCCATGGTTCATAATCTCAATCAAAAACTTAGTTTCTGACAGATTCTCTCTTTCCTTATTCGTTTATTGTTCTGGTAGATCGACCTATTATGCAATGATTGATCTATCTTTTTCAGACTGTTTCACTAACTAGGCCTATTTCGATATGTGTATTGAACACAGGTTGATTTAAATGTCATATTTTTGGAAGATCCTTTAGAATCTTAAGATTTTTCTCTATGAAGAATTTCGATAGTTTTATTTCCAATCAAATGTTGTCTGTTATTTGTCTCTATGCAAATTATTCTTCCCTTCATAAAGGTATGTTTGTTTACAAACAAAACTCTTTTTTAATCATGTTAACATTTTCCTAAATATAATTTATGCAATAGTTGGTGATCAATTAT